TGGCAATTAAAAAAAAAAGCAAGATGGCAATATTAATCTCTGACAAAGTAGACCTCAAAGTACATGATATAATGAGAGATAGCAAAGGGCATTTAATAATGCTCAAGGGACCAACAGACCAAGAACACATAACCATAATAAATGTACATGCGCCCAATGAAAGAGCCTTAAAATTCATCAATTAGTCCTCAAAGAGATGAAAAGAAAAATCACCAAATGGAAAGTTACAGTAGATGATTTCAATATACCGCCCTCAAAGAAAGATAGATCAACAGATAAATGCAGTAAAGAAACAGAAGAGCTGAACATTACAATTGAACAACTTCACCTCCTAGATATTTTCAGAGCTTTCCAACAAACAGCAAACATATATATATTCTTTTCCAATGCACACGACTCACATTCTAAAAGAGGCCACGTGCTCGGACATAAGGCAAGCATGAGAAAATTCAAACACATAGAGATCATTCAAACCATCTTGCAATATCAATGCCCTTATGTTGTATTAAGATATGTATTATTCCAGCAATCCAGTGAAGGACATTTTGTTTTGTTTATGCTTGTTCATATTAGTGTGTATCTCAGAGGTGCTGTGCCATTGGGGGGTCACCCTCTTGAAGTTGTGTTATTTGTTTCTCTATTTTTCGGTAAATGAAACCCAAGATTGAAGAGCCTGTAGGGACAGCAAATAGAGTAAGGGTTTTGGGGGAGGGGGAGTACTGAGAGGGTAGGTCAGATAAAAGGAGATGATGTCAACGAGTTCAGGAGGGAAAAGTATGTTTGGAGATTGATTATGGAATCGATCGTATAATTCTGCTTGACGTGATTGAACTATGGAATGATACGATGTATGTATTAACTGCCAAGTAACAACAAATTTTTTAAAAAAGCATAGATCCAGAATTGGGTTTTGGGCTCACACTAAATCCTAGCTCCAATTTAAGAACAATTAGTTCTTACATCATGGCCCTGCTCAATACTTGCCCTTAGGAAGGGCACAAAGAAGATATGGGTGCTATACCAAAATGTGGTGAAAAAATTAGATGGTGCCTGGCTGTCAGATAAAATAGCATCTGGGGTCTTAAACGCTTGTCTTCAAACAAGCAGCCATCTAAGTGAGATGTCAACTAAGTGCACATGGAAGGACCACACCATCATCAGTCACAAAGGAGTGTGATACATAGAATCTGACGTGGAAGGAGGGATCAGTATCAGAGCCTAAATTGTGAGAATCAGTGTGCAGAACGTGATGGATGACAGTGGGAACCCAAGACCCATTTGTGGAACTACATGGGAAATAAGCCTTCAGTGAACTCTCCCTATCTAAAATTGAGGGATGGGAGGAAAGGGTCCAAAAAGAGTACTTGGGAGAGATGAGTATAGATGACCAAAGGTATAAATCTGACTTGAACAGTTAAAACTTTGTTGGTAGATCCCTGCCTATGATGCAGCCCAGACCTGATCTGATTTCCAAAATTTTCTGTGTTTTTTGTTTGTATTATTTTGCTTTTCTTGTTTTTCACATTATGGTGTATGTGAAAGGTATTATGTCATTGGAGGTCATATTCTTGAAGTTGTGTTACATACTTTTCCATTTTTCGGTATATGAAACCAAGTATTAATGAACTTAAAAGGACAGCAAGGAATTACTAAGAGGCAGAAGAAGGGTGAGTGTGAAGGGTGAGTGTGATGGTGGGGCAGGACAAAGTTAAAAGGAAACAGAGGACAGATCTAAGAAGCAAAGCTGTGGTTAGAGATATAAGCATAGGTGTGTACATATGTAAATACATTAATTCATAAAAGTTGAGGTATTGACCTATGTACATATATTTATGTGGCAATACACTGAGGTAGTGGATGGACTTCAGGCCACTGCTCAAGCCCTCCCTCAATACAAGAATACTTTGTTCTAACCTGGCATTCTGTGATGCTCACCTTCCCAACACAATCACTGAAGACA